CTTTTTTTGGATTGAAGAAGTTAGAGGGAAAGAAGAGGTGAGTGAGGGAGAGAGAGCATCTTCTCTTATTTGGGTATATCATTTTAATGGAAGGGAAGGGAGATGAAGCCCCCTCTCCTTCTCTGTTTTCAATCCTTCCAATTTGGAAAGATTGAGATGGATGACATTGTTTAATTTACTTTTATTTTTAATTTTTTTAAAAATAAATATATAAATATTTTATTTCAACTATTTATTTAATTAATAAATTTTAAAAATTTTATTCTTCTTTATTCTATTTTTTATTAAATTATTTAATTAAATAATTTAAAAAATAAAAAGAATAAAAATGTTTAAAATCATTAATTAAAAAAATAATTGAAATAAAATATTTTTATATATTTATTTTTTAAAAGAAAATTTAAAAAGAGTTAAATGTGAAAAACCAATCCTTCACAGTCTCTTCTATTTGAAGGGATAAAAAATAGAGGAGTCAAAGAAATTCCATTTCCCTCTATCTCTCTTTCTTTATTAAAATAAATATCCTAAATACGAGTAAGATGTATTTTTCTCTTGTTCTCCTTCCCTTTCCCTCCAACTTCTCCAATCCAAACACACTTCTAAGAAAATAAAAATGATTCCATAAAAGAATCCCAGTTTCTAATAGCCGACTACAAGTTATAAGTGATACATATACCTCACGAATTCAATTAATTCTCTTTTAATCCTCCCCTTGCTCTAGTTCTCTCGGTCTTCCATTATCCCTCAGAATTCACAGCAACGGATACCATTCCTTGATTCATACTTGACACTTCTCCTATATTGTTTCGCTGTCTTATGAAAATTCATGCCAAGTTGTTTTGAATCATTAGGATTTAGGAAGTGTCAAACTCAGTATGAATGATTCAGGAAGTGTCAAACTCAGTATGGTTCATCATGTCCATACATGGGATCCGCCCCCAACGCTTACCAGAAATTTGGACCCACTACCCATTATATCTATTGCACACTTAACACATGAAAAGTATGTTTAGTACATCTTCACACTTGAAATAATCATCAAGTTGTTGAATTTCAGTAAGACATTATTCTAAACCCTTTTAACCGCCATTAACCTCAATCAAATCATCTCATCATCTTCACAAACAGAAAAGGACAACTTTTTTAAAGAATCTTGAAGTAAATAGGTTTGGTTTGTTATCTTCATAGATTTCATTGTATTTTAAGTGACTCCCTTTCTTTTTTACTCCTTTCCGTTTCTAGTAAAATCCCTCTGAGTTGGGATTTCTAGTTTGTGTGTGTAGGGGCCATCTAGCCAAGATTTTTAGAACTTCATGTCCTGAATTTGGACTTTGGGGATTCCTCAATTTTTACTTCTAGATCAAGTAAAGCAAAAAAACATGTATTGGAAAAATCTCCTTTGTCATCTAACCTTTATCTCTAACTAGTGATCAAAAAAGAGGTGGACTTTTAGACCCATGTAGAAGAAGGGTGGGGTGGGGGGACAATGAGATGGGAATTGGAAATTATTTGCCCACTATATATGTTTCCTAACAATATTTACATGTGGCTATTGTGATCAAAATATTTTGCAAAAAAGTTGTGGCTAGATCATTTCTAAGGAAAATTAAAAATAACTTGATAATATTGAAATTTGGAAATATCTACTATTTCATTTTCAGTTTTAATTAAAAAGGTTTTACTACTTTAATATACAACATATAGGCATGATGCAAAATTTTGAATATCAAACCTTTCACATATGTTTCTTAAAAAATAAAAGCGAATTGTGGGTTCTTCAAAATTTGGAGTCATCTTTCAGTCGATCAGTCACAACTGTATGTGGGTCTCAACTGTCAACTCTCATGGCTAGCTTTTGGCTTTAATTTTACCATATTTCATCATTTCTGTCCATTGCATGTGGGTGGATCCAATGTTGAGGAATTCTTCCATGCACCATTGATGTCCGTACGTCCAAGGAAATATGCTTCCACTTAATTTTGAGTTCAAGATGACGATTAAAGCACATATTGGGCTTTATTTATTTAAAAGTTCTGTTGGTAATTATTTTCTCAGCATAGAATGCATAAGAAGCAGTTAAAAACAGATACACAGAGATGCACTTCACCAAAAAAATAATAATAATAATAATAATAATAAAGATACACAGAATTCATTAACTGCAAAATAGGCATGTTCATTTGAGGAGAAAACAAGCATTAAAGCATTAATTGCAAAATAAGAGTGGATAAATATAAATATATATATTATAGTGCTTTTTTTTTTAATTTTAAGTTTTAACTAGAAGATTGTCATCGGCTCAATTTTTGTATATCTTAAAAATAATCCCTTTTCAATCTGATTAAAAATAAACCATCCACATTAAAATTAAAAAATTTATAAGAAATTAACTTTTCATTAACCTTTTAAAAAAATTGAATCTTAGTCAATAAAATAAAAAATAAACCCTCTTATTAATTAAACTACAATTTTTGGGTTATATATAGTGCTTATTAATTTGAAAAGAAAGGCAACACACGGCCCATGCCATTAGATAAGTTTCAGTGATCTTATTACTGCTCTTTGTTAAAAAAATAAAATAAAATAAAATAAATAAATAAAAAGAAGCAATGCAGAAGTTGTTACTCAAAACTGGAACAAATGGACCTTTTTCTTGGAAATTAAAATCCCACAAGCAATCGGGCGTACTTCCTTGGGAGATTACGTATTCATCGAAACAATTCCAAAACTTTGTGATTTATGGACAATTGAAAAGGAAATTTTGTATAGTACATTGTCTTTTTAGTTGTCGTGATCGAATTTGCTAAACCTAGCTGTTCCACTTGCTAGATCACCCATTCGAGACTGTCCAAAATTAACCCCATTTGACCTACATTCTGCACAAGTTGCTATTGCAAGATTGTTAATATCTCAAGAAGATATATAATCACAAACTTATTAGATTTGATCAACCTATAAAATTGAATCTATTAATAAGTATGTAAGTGTTCTAGTATAAATTAGATTTAAATTTTAAAATTTATAAATAATACTTAAAAAATTAATTTCTTTAAATTCATTAGGTTGACGTGTATAAAAATGTACTTTTATAATTGTTTGATGATGAATTAATTTCAAAATAAGCAAAAACTAACCTTTTTTATTGAATTTTCACAAGATTATACAGTGATGAGATTAATCATTATAAAATTATACTTTACCAAATTTTGTACATTCAATTAATATTTAATTTTAATGAAATGTTTGTGGAAGGAGGAGATATGAGGGGACCAGATGAAAGAAAAGGGGTTTCGTGAAGCTTACAGCTATTTGTTTTGGTTCATTCAACATCATATTTCCTGCCAGAACCCGAGTTTTGGTTTTTAGCAACACACCAATTAATACGGTTTTTATGAATCTCATCAATCGAGTAAAGATGCAAAAAATGATGTTAACTTTATAATTTTTTTTATTTAAAGATATTAACTTTATTAATTTTTAAATAAGGATGTCAACAACATTTTCTATGGATGTCAACTTTTAACTTTTTTTATTTAATGATACAAACTTTAAATTTTTTTTATTTAATGATTAATTGAAAATGAATTTTTTAATTGAAATGTTGAAATGTAACATTCTTAAATAAAAAAAGTTGAAAGTTAACATTCTTAAATAAAAAATATTGAAAGTTAATATCATTATTTAAAAATTAACAAAGTTAATATTTTTAAATAAAAAAAATTGTAAAGTTGAAATCTTTTTTAATTTGCACCTTTACTGAATGTCAATCCTTGTAACATCTCAATATATATATACATATATATACACATATATATATATACCATCATGCCTAGCTAATTAATGAACAAATTTATTAATTAAGCCACCATATATATATATATATATATGTATTTTTGTTGACAAAAACATATACCTTACAAGGTCGGTTTCAAGGACCATGTATTAATCTAGCACGTACATCTCCAAAGGATGAAAAATACTGGACGAGAGGAAAATTAACTTTCATTTTCAAATTGATTCAAATATAATACGTCTCAAAAACTAAAATACCATATTTTTAGGTACAAATTCATTTGCACCTTGACTCGTATTTAAGAGATTGGTAGTGACCAATGATATTAATTAGGTACGGTAGGGAAGACAGAGGAGGCAGATGCCGGGTCATGTTTTAATTTCATAACTATAGGTAGAGCAAAAAAAGGTACTAATTTCGGGCAATTTTTTTTTTTTTTAACAGTCAGCCAAGCTCGAAATTTTTAATATCAGCATAGGAAGTTGGAGTTTATAAGTATTGCAAAATTAAGTTCCAACTCCTAACCTTTGAAGATTTTTAATAATAATAATAATAATAATAAACAACTTAGAAGATTCATCTGATACCGGGCTATCACCATATATGGGAAGGCATCAAGAACTACAACTATTTCCACAATGATCAAGTCACATAATTTCCCAATTTTCCACGTCCAATATTACTTAATTGAGACCTATAATTAGATCTATTTATAAACCCTATAAGGTATCATCTCTCAAAATTATTTTATCAAGGATAAGAACAATTAACATCCAACTCTTAAAAATTTGATGATAAGTTGATACTACTAATTGAAGTTTATAACCAAATAATTTTTTTAAAACAATAAAGAATTATTTTATTTATAAAATACAAAAGATACTCAATTCATATACTATAAAAAATTATTATCTAAAATTACATATAAAAAATCAAACAAGTTATATATTTTAAAACAAAAGTTGTGTTATCTATGTATAAAAAAGTCAAACTATGCTTACTAAAAAGGGCTCTCTCTTTTTTCTTTTTTTTTGTCTTCCCTTTTTTTTTTTTTTTAAATTTGTGCTCTCAATGTATAGATTAAGAGTGTAGTTAATATATTTTTTAAATATTAATTAACATTGAAATAAAAGTTTAATTTAATCAATTGTTCAATAAATATAATTTATATGACATTAATGCTGAAGTTAAAGTCAAATTTTATAATTTTCTACTTTGTTCCTTCAATTTTAACCACCTTACTTTTTAACTTTACACATATCTAAATAGGCACTAAGTGGTACACATTTTTATACAATACACAATACAATACATTTGTTAAAAATTATTATTTTTTAGTTTGAAATTAAAGATGGATAAACTTAAATATGTAATCATTTCAACATGATATAAGAAGCAATTGAATCAACTAAACTTATATTATATTTATAATGGTTGAATCAGGATTAGTGTCAAAAAGTACATCGAACCAAACACATGATATAAGAATCAATTGAATCAACTGTACTTATATTATATTTGTAATAGTTGAATTAGAATAAGTGTCAAAAAGTACATCAAACCAAATGTGCACCAATTGTTTTTCTATTTAAACAATTTAAGAATTAGTTAAAACTTGCTAATAAACTAAATAATTTAGTAGTAATCTTTTTTTTTGTGGAACTAAGAGGCTTTAAGTTCAACTCACATAGCATGTGAGTGAGATGAAATAGGATTACCTTTCATTATATAATTCAAGATAAAAATTAAAAAAAAAAGGTTAAAATTTCACTGATAACCTGTAATGTCTCACATAAATAGAAAATACTCCATTTATTTTTAATAGATCTAATTTGATTTTTTTAACTTTGACATAAATTTTGGATGAAAATCTAACAATTTATATGAATAACCATTGAAATTTTCTTTGTCCCTATATATATTGTTTTTGTTAAATATTTTTACTTGATTAAAAAAGTTTTCAATTGTTATTCATATGGATTATTAAATTTTTATCTAAAATTTATATCTCAAAAATAAAAATGTCAAGCTAAATCTATTGAAAACAAACATAGAGAATAAAACAATTAAATCGAAACACACAAATTTAATAAATGAGAAAACTAAATTAAAATAAATCAAATATATAATTTTATATAAAATATATACATTAATTATATTCTTAACACACACTTTATATAAATATGGAGAACATTTGTCAAATTATAGTTTTGTGAATGCATTCACATCCTCCAATAACCCTTATCTGGATTATTAAATTTTTATTTAAAATGTATATCTTAAAAATTTTAAAAAATTAAATTAAATTTATTAATAAATTAAGAGAATAAAATCTGAAAAATCAAGACGTCTTAACATAAAAACATTTCATCACAATAATCCGTTAAGTGGATCCTAATTAAGGGTACACTTAATGGATGATTACGATGGATATCTTGATGACATGTTTTGATTTTTATTATTTTTTAGAGAGAATAAAACAATTAAATGAAAATATTAAAAATTTAATATAAAAAATAATTAAAATAAAATATATATAATTTAATTATACTTTTAATACATATTTTATATAAATTTAGAAAACATTAATCAAATTATAGTGTTGTGAATGCACTCACATCCCCAAAAACCCTTTCTCTCCCGCATATCCCAATAACATTCCAAAGGCATTAATATCTCTCTCTCTCCTTCGTTGGCTACAGAAAGCTAAGAGATGGAAAGCTTCTGCACTCCCACCCACTCATTCCCACAATCATAACACCACCCCACCCCACCTCACCCCACCTTTATTTTCTTTCCCTGTAATCAAAAACCAAAAACCACTATTCCTTTCCATCCCAATTGATTCCCACTTCCCACCTTCACACTCTCTTTCTCTCTCTCTCTCTCTTAATTTTCCCCATCCCCTTCCTCCCCCGACCAGACTAGTCCTTTCAGGTTTTTGTATCTTTCTCCCCTCTCCAAAACCAATATATTAGTATTTTTTGTTTGTCTTTCTTCCTGCTTCTCTTCAATTTTCGGTTATATTTTTCCTTGATCTGGGGATATCATATAGTCTCAAATTAAGCAGAAAAAAAATGTCAGTGGATTTGGCATCAGAACGTGTGTGTTATCTTCACTGCAACTTCTGCAACACCACTTTAGCGGTATATATAATTAAACACTCAATTTTCTTTCTTTTTTCTCTATTATACATATATATATATACATATATTCTTCTTCTCCTTTTTCTTTACAAGACTGTTTTTGAGATGTCTTTTATGTATGAGAGCGAGCTAGCTAGCTACCTAGCCAGGCTGAGGATGCAAGCATGCACCCACCCAGTGTTCAATTATTTGGGTTTTTGGAACTGAAGTTCTAGTTCAATTTGGGAAATGTCTTTTTCTGAAAAAAAATCTTGAAGTTTTCTTGATTTTATATATGGAAACTAGTTAAAGGATTCCTTTCTCATCTGTCGTGTGTTAATATATATTTATGTCCAATTAATTTTTGTCCTGGCTAAGTTAGCCCTTAACCCCCATCCAATATAACCAAAAAGTTTCTAGTATCATGAAACATGAGAGTGAATTCTTGTATTGATCTGATGAAACACTACTCTAGGGCTACAGCTAGGGTTTTTCCAGTGCAATTCAAGCCTTTCCTTTTCTGAAATTCGCTCACCATGCTATATTTATGCAAGCCTACCACCTCCTTTTGTTTTTCATTAAATTCATCACTAGTATTTTAGTGTAATAGATTCATATCAGTATTTACACTACAACCAAATCCGTACCTGTTGTAAAATTTTCAGTTTTGTTTTGGCGCATCATCATCTGCTCCTAAGTGAATTTATTAAGCCCTGTGGTTTTCAGAACCAAATATATACGATTCATTGATCCATCATCCATGGAGAATTTTGCTTAATTATTTTCATGCTTGTTAGTGTTTTTCTTTCTTGATTTGTACGACAGACCTGGTGTACGAAATCATCATGACATCTCTCTCTTTTTTTCTTTCTACCTCTCCAAGAAGAAGAAAGTAGCTAGCTAGATCGATTCAGAACATTGAGTAAATGGCTCTTTATTGATTATAGCTGGGGGGGTGGCGTTTATGGTTTTCCAGTTCCGGTTGGGTCGTTTTCTTTATCTGCCAAATGTTTTTCTTTTCTATCTTTTATCATCTCTGGGTTCCGGTCAGACACAAATGTCAGGCGCACCCAAAGGAAAGGAGTCCTTATAGTTATTGCCCATGTGAGGTGTGTCTTTAGCTCTCTGCCTTCTGCTTTTGTATTTGGCCTCTTCCTCCATATATATATATATATATATATATACTCATAAAACTACCAAAACATCAAGCAAATCTGTCGATATATATTGTAGCCCTAAAACAATCAAACAGATTCTACATTTGCTACAAAGCCATGGCTCCTCCTTTTCTTCTTCAAAGGAGACTTAATGGTTGGGGGACATTAATTTTCTCCTCCTAGCTAGGGTTTGATGTCATATGTATGGCCCAACATTTTAGAAAATTCTCTGTTATGCCTGTATATAGATGATCAGATCTAGAAAGTTCCAGGTGTTGAGTTTTGTTGATGTTGAGAAATGGATATATACGGTTGCAGGTAAGTGTTCCATGCAGCAGCATGTTCAACATTGTAACAGTTAGATGTGGGCATTGTGCCAATTTGCTGACTGTAAACACAGGATCTTTACTTCAAGCTGCTCCTCTCCAAGATGCCGAGGTATTTGACTCCCTTTTGTGCTACTATACATTAATTGTTTTGCCTTTCAATATTAAATATTTGAATACAATAGAAGGAATCCACCTTTTCCTATTATATATATATATATATATGTGTGTGTGCGCGCGCGCTCAGCTTCAGTAGTCTTTAATTAGAAAGGCTATAGCCTTAGGGACAATGAAAGGGATATGCGTGTGTGTGTGTGTGTATATATATATGATTTGATGGATTGTTTCTTTGTTTTGTTTGATGGGAAGTTGCAGAAACAGCAGATAAACTGTCAAGATTCAATTGAATTTGGCTCTTCTTCCAAATGCAACAGGTTTTCTGGATTGGAGTCAGCAGAGCACAATAACATCACCAGAATGCCTCCCATTCGCCGTTAGTTTCTTTCCCGCCCTCTCTCTTTAGTAAAAAGTTATTACATGCTTATCTACTTCAGAGTTCTGATTTGAAACCTTCATCATCACAAATCTGTCTTTTTTGGGTGCAAATGGAAAATTCATTGAGTTAATGAAGTTTTACAAAATATGGTCTGATATACAGTACGTACAACCATTCGGACAATCTGCCTTTAAAAAAAATTAGCCATTCTGGCAATCATCATATTTCACAATTAAGGGTTTGAAGTTAGAATATAAGTACGATTGAGTAAATGTTAGTACTTAGATGATGAGAGCAAAAAGTTAATTGAATGCTAGACCAACTACCTAAGCTAGTTTGATTGATGATGGTAACTCTGAAGTCCACCATACAAATTGGCAACTAGTAAATCAGTCCAAAGGCAGAATTCACAAATAAACCATCAACAAATAATGGCCAGCTCATTCAGCCTAGCTAGATGGTGACTTTACACAACCACTTCAACTATTTTAGAACAGTGCCCTAGAAGGTCCAATGCTAAAAATCAAAGCTCTAGCTAAAGAGATGCTCTACATATATAGAACTCCTGTTTTACTATTTGATTTTTTTTTTTTTTTTGGTTGTATGCATATATTAATGTAATGCAAGCTGTAAGCTTGCAGGTCTGAGGCCTATATGCATAGATGTCTGCATATATATATCCTGTTTTTTGCACTGCACATGCAGTATGAAGTTTTATTGAAAGTATGATAAAGAAGCAAATGCATACGATTAGAATATTTATTCAACTGAAATAATGTTTAATTGAATAAGCTTACTGAGATTTGAATATCATGGATGAAAATGCAGCACCAGAGAAGAGGCAACGTGTTCCTTCCGCATATAACAGGTTTATTAAGTAAGTTCCCTATTTAATTTCTTATATATAGTTAGTGGTAATTAATTAATTTCCCTCACACGGATTAATATACACACACACTTGAGTTGGGTATATATACATATATGTGGGTTATTTTGATGATTTTGTAGCTATAGATGAAGAATAGCTTTCATTAATATGACTTTGTAGGGAGGAAATCCAGAGGATTAAGGCTAGTAATCCTGACATCAGCCACAGGGAAGCCTTCAGCACAGCAGCAAAAAATGTAAGCTGTTACCACTCATGATAACTCTAGTTCTGTCTTATTATTGCATCCCCACCAAATGTTGTCTGTCATGTCATGCTACACATATCAAATCATTTTGATATTTCTTGTTAGTCACTTCTACAGATCTCCTTGAAGCATTTCATGTCTTAGACTCTTGTGTTTCCCCATTTTGTCATATATTGATGTCTTGTTTTGGTTAATGTTAAGATGCATGACAGGTATATATGACAAATAGAGGATGGGATGATATTTTCTTAAAATAATCTGGTCTTACTTTGGGGTTTGCTTTCTTCTTTCCTTACATGTACCCTTAGAGAAGAAAAGAATTATTACATACATAATGCATCCGCAAAAACTGATTCATTGAAGAGAAAGGGAAATTGACATATATAATTATGGTTTACCTGAATGGTTCATAATAAGGGGAACACTCTGGCCTATGCCTCAAGTATGCATGATTATAGTTAAATGACTGCAACATTTGTTTTGCAGTGGGCACATTTCCCCCATATTCACTTTGGGCTAAAGCTGGATGACAATAACAAGCAACCAAAACTGGACCAGCCATTTGCTGAAGGCACTCAAAAGTCGAATGGGTACTACTAAAACCCCACTCATGCATAGATCAGTACTACTTTCTCTATGTGTAAGAAGAAATGAGGTGCATAAAAGTCTCCTAACCCAACAGGATGACCTTTCCTTCACAACCTCACCAAAATACTACCTATATATACTAAGTGTGCCCTAATCAACTCTTTATTTAAACAGTTTTCTTCATTTATGTGAAAACAGTTTCACTTATGCAATAACATTTCATGGAATAATTTGCATATATAGCATCATCTGTGACATTACTACATTAGCATAATTTTCTGGGTTGAAGGGAAAAAAGAGGTTAAGTATATATTCAAAGACTATGATTGCTTGAACTAATATTTTCTTATCAATCTAAACTGTAAAACACTTTTTTTTGTCCTCTTGTCCTTCAAATTAAGGACAAAGTGGACAGCCACCTTTGTCAAGTGGGATAAGAGGACCACGCACTTATTGACCAATACGATATTGCATGAATTAGTGCTTTGACACGAAGGACAATAAGCTTAACCCATTTACGTCTCTCTTCCTACAGTATCTCAATCCTTCTTTCTTTCTTTCAGTACCATTCGAGAGGATGATGAAATTGACGAATCATAGTATAATAAGACACTTCTTGCTTTGCATGTGTTCAACCTGTCATGTTTCAGACCTGATCAAAACACAAAAACCGTAACAGTTATGATAAAAGTATATATGATCTTAAAAAAATATTCATATGTAAAACCAACGAACTTGTTATTTCAAATAAAATGAGATTAATCTTCTTCAAGTAAATTTTTAAATTTATATCTTAGGAAGAAACAAATAAATATTGATAAAACTTTTTTTTATAAAATTTAATTTAATTCAACTTTAAATTAATTAAAATTTAATATAATTTTAGGAGGTTAATATAAAAAAATACTCATGTATAAAACACCGAATTTTATGGCACAAAAATCACGCAGAAACCGACACAGGCAGACGTCATTGACCGATCGAAACACACTTTTATCATACCACTACAAATATTCTCACTGATTACTCATGCTCTTCACTTTAACATACAAAGTATATAATAATATGTTCCTTACTTTTGCTCCTTTTTTTTTCCATTTTTTTTCTTCTAATTAAGCCCTAGTTAGTTAGAATTTCTTCGAGAAAAAAGAACATATCATAATTTCCAAGTGATTCACAGAAAATGGTAATGGTTCCCAGAAATTGAATTAGAGAGATAACATGACCCGTTAATATATACTTGAGGAGTTAATTATTTACATGACTTTAAAAAAAAATCATGTATATACCTCTAAATATTTTACTTTTCATGTGTAGGGATCATCTTAATTATAAGAAGTTATTATTTTTTGTGAACCTAAGATAGGGTTAATTATGCTGGATTATGTCATGGTGAGGTCAGAGCAAACCCTAACTCGAATCTCCTTTTTCCAACCGGACCAACCCCACCAGTTCTTAACTTTGATGATCATCATGAATATCATGAAATCAAACGATGGAATGAGGGGCTGTGATTGGTGTAACGTGCATGGATTGTTCGGGTAGCATGAGATGAAAGATGGAAGTACTGTTTGAATGATCCATAGATGCCTACAGAGAAAGAAAAAAAATATAGTGGGGAAAAAAAATTAGGGTTTGTCGGTTGGGAGAGTACAGACTGCAGAATCTGTAACGTCAAATCATAGTTGGTAATTTGGAACCATGTGTGGGGGTGTGGGTGTAAAAGAAAAAGATAGAAGGATTGATAGTTTTACTTTATTTTATAAGCTTTTTAAAATGTCTGTCAAATTGTCATGTCACATATATATCATGAGGGTGGGTTATAGTTATACATGAGAATTTTTTATTTTTTTATCTTTGGGTAAAGTCCCATTTCAGTCCACAACCTTTCTGATCTGACCACTTTTACCCCTAAACTTCTAGTTTTCTTTAGCTTGGTTTCTCCAAGCATAAAGATTTGTCAAATACAGGCGGAATGTTGAGGTCAAGTGACCCAAATCCTCCATCTTGAGAGGTATACCATCAAACACCGTTAATTTCTTCTCTTTGAAAGAGCCTTCTTCTCTCACTAGTTATTGTCCCCTTTCTTCACTTTGTTTTTAAACTTTTTCTTTTGTCATTTTTTTTTTTCAATAATTTCCTTCTCTTTTTTTTTAGTATTTTAAAAGACTAGACAATATTTGACAAGATTTTTCCTACTTAAGACGATCCATGTGGAACCCTAATCCCACCCTACAACATATCAACATTCTTTCTACATTTGATAAATCTCTTTTCCACGTAAAGACAATTAATTAGATGAAATATCCAAACGAGAAGATGGTTCAAAGGTGGGACCAAAAGAGGCCCAAAGTAATGGTTGGGAGTAAAAATGGTCAAGGTCATAAAGGTTGGGGATGAAAATGCGATCTTACCATTTTTTGTCTTTGGAATTTCTTTGGCAGGAAATGCAGAAGCCAGAGGCTGAGAAGCAGAAGCAATCAGTGGTGACATAACCTTTTCTCGTTGCAAACATCAATGCCGGAGATACTTTGAGATTTTCCACTCCATGCCTTTTTGAATTCTGATGGGATGATAGAGGGTCCTGCCCCCACTCCCCCACCCACCATTGTGGCATTATTAAACACCGCCCATTATTTCTATACAAGTAATTTCTTTCTTTACCTTTTTAACTACCAGTCAAAATCTTTATAATTACGCTCTTTTTTTTCTTTTTTTTTCTTGTCTTTTACTTTTTTTCTTTCTTTGAAAATGTTACCCAAAAACCATAAAAGCATGGGTTGTGTTTTGGGAGAAGATCTCTCATGTAACGGTATAGCATGTCAGTTATCTAAATCAATTTTTTTTTTTTTTTATGAACCAAAATCAATTATCTTTAAAACATTGTTAACAAAGTAGGTGTGCATATTGATCCAAGCGGGTCCAAGTAAATAAGAAGTTCCACTTTATTGTTAGCTTTTATTCCTAATCAAGTTTTTGTTGGTAGCTATTACATTATAGATTTTTCTGCATAAGTTTGACCAATTCAGTTTCAATCTTAAAATAAACATGATGACAATTTCCTTTATAATAAAGGAAAAATTAAAGGTTCTAGGTCGGTGTCACCTTTTACAAGCTAAAGCACCTGCAAGGGTGTTTGAAAAACAATGCACCTACTTTAAAAATATTAATTTCGTTCATAAATTTAAAATTTTATTAGAAAAAAATAATTAAAATTAATTTTTAAAGTAAATTTTAAAAAAACAACACATCTAAACTTTTTCAAATTTTATTTAAAACTCATTTTAAGAGACAATTTTTGAATTTTTTTAAATAAAACTTTAAACTCATAAAAAATAAATAATACTTTTAAAGTAAATACTTTCTAAACTTTGCTAAACACCCTTGTTAGCAAGGGTATGAAAGCAAATTAGTGATGGGAAGGGTTTTTGGGTTTATGGAGGATTAAATATGAAACTCAAAACGAACAATTTGATTGCATAAGTATAATCATGGAAATTAAATAAGAGAAAATAATTTATA